CAAGTCAGCTAAAAATATAAATCTTACTTTTAATCATGATAAATGAAGCTTTTCCCAAGATAAAATTTGCATTCTTGGATATCTTATAGAAGAAGGAAAGCTCAAACCAGATCCCAGTCATCTTCAACCTATGAAAGAAATGCCTCCTTCTCATCATGCTAAATCCATGAAGCGTTTCATCGGAGTATTTTCATACTACTCTAAATGGATTCCAAACTTTTCCGACAAGATAGTTTCTCTTACCAAAAACACCAAGCACCCATTAGATCATCAGTGTGTAAATGATTTCAATCAACCTAAACAAGACATTGCAAATGCTGTGACAGATTATGTGGACGAAAATGTTCCATTTGAAGTAGAAACAGATACATCTAACATTGCTATAGCTGCAGTTCTTAATCAAAATGGCCGCCCTGTAGCTTTCTTTTCAAGATTACTTCAAAAATCTGAACTCAAACATCCCTCTATTGACAAAGAAGCTTGTGTAATAATAGAAGTAGTCAGGCATTGGAAACACTACCTTACTGGACGCCATTTTAAACTTATTACCAATCAGCAACCTGTGTCCGATATCTTCAAAAAGCAACATAAACCAAAGATTAAAAATGATAAAATTTATCGATGGAAAATTGAACTATCGTGCTATAATTATGACATTGTTTACAGGGAAGGGAAACTAAATATTCCAGCTAACACATTTTCTAGAATACATTGCTCAGCAATAAACACTAACAACTTAATTTAGCTTCATCAATCACTCTGTCATCCTGGAGTAACTAGGTTTTATGCTTTTATTAAAAACCATAATTTACCTTTCTCAATTGATGATGTTAAACGAATAACTAATCAGTGCAAACTATGTTGTGAATGTAAGCCTAGATACTACAAACCACTAAAATCTGATTTGAGACACAACTACCGGAACGTTTGAACTTAGATTTTAAAGGAACTCTTCCTTCGGAAACTAATAACAAGTATTTTTTAACCATAATTGATGAGTATTCTCGTTTTCCTTTTGCAATCCCGTGCCCTGATATTTCAGCTCACACTGTAATTAAGTGTTTGTCACAAGTATTCTCGGTTTTTGGTTTGTTAAGTTACATCCATTCTGATAGAGGTTCAGCCTTCATCAGTAAAGAATTAAAACAATACTTACTAGAGAAAAGTATTGCGACAAGTCATACTACACCATATAATCCACAAGGGAATGGTCAATCCAAAAAGTATAATGGAACCATAATGAAGTCTATTGAGATTGCTACTAGACAAAAAAATTTACCCATCAAAGCTTGGGAAAAAGTATTGCCAGACGTTCTCCATTCTATAAGATCCTTAGTAAATACTAAAACAATGGAGACACCTCATGAAAGAATGTTAAGCACCTTTGTAAAACTCTGGATGCACTTTACCTTCATGGTTAAGTCATCCTGGACCAATACTAATGAAAAGACATTTATGTAATAATAAGTATAAACCACTGGTAGACAAAGTGCAACTCATAGATGCTAATCCGCAATATGCTCACATAAAGTATCCATGGAAGAGAAACCACAGTTTCCCTAAGACACTTAGCTCCGATCATTGATCAAACAAATCATATTGAACCTTCACCAGAAAAAGCCTTTAATTAAATCGAACCTTCACCAGAGAATGCTTTTAATAAACCTTCTTACCCCTATAAACCATTAACACCTGAGAAATATGGACTTACCAATACCAATCCTGAAAACTTTCCTAATCAGCCTCCCCTTTATCAACCTCCACTAGCTGAAAATCTTGTCAATGATGCTTGTCTGATCAATCCATTGTTATTAATAACACCTCAAGAAGTAGATCCTCAAGAGTAATTTGTCGATCATTACGACTTATAGAAGAAGATACATGAAAAACCTTGTTTATATTATAGTATATTCTGTTTATATTATGGCTGCAGAGAATGTTGTGCTTTGATAGTTTACTTTGTTTATTTTAGAGTAGAAAAACTTATAAGAATTAAAATATTGTTGTTCTTTATACAAGTGTTTCAGGTGTCATGTACAAAACAACATCAAGACTGAAGTTGAATGGCCATAGAAATTGTCAATGTTTTATCCATTGAAATAAAACTTAAGGCTAAACTTCAGAGTTTTTCTGTAGAAAAACATGATGCACTTTAGCATCTGCTTTACACATAAATTTAACTGCATATGAAGTTTAGTGTTCAAGACCTGAGGCCACTAAACTTTAGAATCTATTCAAAAGCTGCCTTACTACAAAAAATATGTTACACTAAGTTTAACAACACTTGAATAATAACAACAAAAATACAACAACTTACCAACTAAAGATGCTAAAGAAATATTGTCTTGAAATTTTGTATAGGTCTTTCCACCCAGCCATAACTCTAACATTTCAATGCTGACATGTTCTTCAACAAAGCTATCTAGTATCTTTGGGCTTTTTTTAAGGAATGAGAATATGATCTCCGGATCAAGTGTACTTAAATCTAATGACATAACAAAATAGAATCAATAAATAAATTTATATTGTTATGTATATTTCCAATGAATAATACATTATTCAGAGCTATGACCCTATCAGCTTACAGCTTTTTTATTTTTTTAAATGTATAATAAATAAAATTTACTGAAACAGTTATCACAATAAAAATAATAAATGTATTAAGTTAATAATACATGTATTTTTTAAATTTAAAAATAATAAATGTATTATTTATTTACAATTAAGCAACTCATAGTTTTTAAAAGTGTTCTCTGGAATTGCAAAATATTCTGCAATTCTCCTCAGGTCTTATATTCCTAGTTGCTAGATTTTTCTATTCCTAGTTTGCTTTATGAAAAAAAAATTTAAAAAATTAATCAAACATTCTTTTCCAACTGCAGTATTAAAACTATTTTTTATGAACAACAACCTTCTTCAATGCTTCATTTATTGTTTACTATTGACATATATGGAAACCATATACAAAATTCATTGCACTGTAAGCATAAGCTTGTAAGGTTTCCTCTCTTTATCTTGCATTTTAATTTCTTATTCCTGTCATATTTGAGCTGTTTCTTTTTGTTCTCTTATTTTAGTTGATTAAATTTCTAATTCTTTGTTGTATGGAATACTATTGTCATATTTAGGCTGACTCTAAGGCCTTTTCTTTTATTTGGTATATTATTTTATTTGGTATATTCTTAAATAAAACTTTGTTGGACTTGCTTTAGCTGAAAAGCTAAAGCAAGTCCAACAAAACTTTATTTAAGAATGTACCAAATCTGCAAAAAAAAATTTTTTTTCAGATCTGGTATATCCTCTTTTGTATTTAGGATGCAATTTGTATCTGCATCTAACTTAAGAACATTTTTTTGAATGCATATTGTTAACATGTTGACATTTATGCATACGCATAGATGTCCTACTTCCACTCAAAATAAACTGACTTAAAAATTATCAGATTTAAAAGAATTGGTAAATTAAATAATTTTGGTAAATTAAATAGCTGAGACTCTAATCTCAGATTTAAAATGTAATTTAAAAGAATTTCAGTGCAAATAAAACAGCTGAGCATTTAGAGGAGAATCTCAGTGCAAATTTCAGTTCTGTTTTTCGCTCTAGAAATTACAATCTTTATTGTTAACTAAATTAAGAGTTTTGTAAGTGGCTTTTCAGCTCACATTATTAACAACAGCATTCATTATGCTGAATGCTTTTGTTAATAATGTGAGCTGAAAAGCCATATTATTAACAACAAATATCAACATAGAGTAAGGGCTTTTCATTAGTATATATAAAAATTTTTTTATGCAATTTGTGTGGATTTGCTCAAAGAACTTTGTTATTTGGTGAATATTATCAACCGAACACATTACCATTCATTAGAACTTAATGATTATTATTACAACAATCAATTGAGTTTTAGAAATGTTTCCATGTTTAAAAGTTATTTTTTGTTACTTGGTGTCAACAATGTGTCACCTTCATAAATGATTTGGCCTCCACCAAATCTAAAATTCTTTGTAAAGGCTGTACATCATTGGGTTACTCTCTTATTATATGTAGTCCAACAAAATGTTCTTAAATTAGCCTTAAATTAGAAAATATAAATTTCATCATAAAAAAAAAATTTTCAGAGAATATATTAGATCTGCATAAGAAATTAATGAAACCAAAAGCTTGATCAAAACTGTTTGCAATTAAAAAAAACAAAAACAAAAAACTTCGAGCTGATCAAAAAATAAACTTTTTTTAGTATATATCAAACTGCTGCTTTGCTTTTGTCCAAGAACTAGCAAAAAAGCACGTCAGTAGAAGAATCGGGTATTTAAAAGAAAAAAGTATTTGTATAGACAAGAAAAAATATCATAGTAAGCTATCAAAAGAGATTGAGGACAAAATGTGGTTGCAGTCTTTCAGGACTATAATGTTACCAGATGAGTATTCTGAAATTCTAAAGATGGTCCAATTATTGGGCCATCTTTAGAATGGTCCAATTTTTGGATGTTCCAATTTCAGAATATTTGACTCCAATATGTGCACAATACCAGGTTAAAATTTAACCATGGAATAGATATTTAGTATAATTGAAGCACAAAAGAAAGAGATAAGCGGTGGAGGCTATAACAACAAGCGGTGAACATATAACAACTAAGATTAATTTAATTTTAACTTTACTAATGTTCAATAATGCTCTATGCGGAAACGGACTAATAGGTGATCTGCTACTTATGTGTTTCAGTGGCGGATTAAGACTTCTTGGGGCCCGGGGCTATTTTTGTTTTTAAAGGCCTTCTTATTGGCCAGAGCCTAAAAAATGACTTAAAAAAAAAAAAAAAAGGTCCTCTAAAATTTTTTGGGGCCTCTAAATTTGCGGGGCCCGGGGCTATAGCCCCCTAGCCCCCCCTCCTCCATCCCTTGATCCGGCACTGATGTGTTTACTAGGGTGTATCATAATATTTTTTTAAATCTTTTCTTTTACTTGACCACAACTTTTCATAAAGTAACTTTTCCACTAACTTGATTTTTATTTGTTAAGTCATTAATTTATTCGCGTAATGCTGTATATGATAACGTTCTTCTTTTGAGGCACGGTGATAGTCTAAGGAGTTCAAGTCCTTCTCAGTGAGTTTTTTTTTGTGCAAATTTTAATATTTATTTTTCTAGAAGATTTTGTACACTCTTACAAGTGTAGGTTCTCATTACATACTCGCTCACATTATTTGTACGCTCGTACAAATATTGTTTATATAATAAAAACCTAATTTTTATTATATAAAACTTTTTTTACGCAAAATTATGTTTAAATTCTTTAACTTTTCTGCCCAACGATATAGTAGTGTAGACATCTATTACATCATGTGGACCTGTGGATGTAATAAATGTCTAATTTTTAGTTTAATAATTCAGTAAATTTAAGGTTAACAAGTCTGTTTCGATAGGAATCTTGTGCAGACCAGGTAAATTTCCATTTCTAATGGCAGAGACTGTTTTACACCTATAAAACTTATCAGAGGAGAAATTTTTGATTACTTTATCCTTTAGAGTATTAAGAGGACTTTCAGCATCAACTTTTTCAAAGGATGGATTTTCAGAACAGTTACGTTATTTAATAATTTTCTATACTGCCTCTACATTTGTTGCTACTCAGAGTTTCTCTATTAAGTTGTTATAAGATGACGCAGGATAAAATATATAGACAAACTTAATTAAATTTTTGTGTTATCAACTCTGCCATCAAAAGTATTACAATCAATAATGCTTGCCCTGCAATGACTATCAAAATCTAGAAAAAGAGACTACATAATTTATTTGAGCTCACTTGACTTTGCTGTGATCAACAATTAATTTGGTATCATCTACTTTAATTATTCCTGCATCTATAGATAAAGTATTTGAAAATTAAAAATTTAAAAAAATATTTTTGGATTCAAAGTGTGATATTTAGACCAATAAAGACTTAGTAGATATATCTTCGTTAATAATAACTTGAGAAGTTCCTATGGACTATGAACCAAAAAAGTAATTTTTATCACTTCTAATGTTTGCTCCATGAAAGTAGACATAACATTTTTTTTAATAGCGAAATTTCACCCTATGTTAACAAGGGTGTTCAATTATAGAAAGAATATGAAAATACTCTGAAACAAAAGTAATTTGTCTGAACAATAAGTTTTGAAATAAATTAGTTCTTCGGTCTTGTTTTAACAGAAGTGATTTTACTAATTTAATCCAATATCTATTAAAGTGCATATTAAGTTTAAAAATAAATTTTAAGAAATAATCTAAAAGAAACCACGTGTAAATCATGCGATTACAAATCCAATGCTTTTGCATACCAATAGTTTTGTCTTTAGTATTTTTAAGCTACTCGGTGGGAAAAAAAAATTTTTTTGAACGATAGAGACAGCGATTTGGCCGCGAGGATCGCTAGCTTTTTTAAGTTAGCGAAAAGCCATCGGTTTTTGTAAAGATAAAGACAGCGATTTGGCTACGAGGACAGCTAGCTTGAGAAGCTAAAGACTCACTGGCTATTGTAGCTAGCGTCGTATCGTAATTAAATTGCTGTTCTAAAAATTTAATATGTATCTATCAACCAGCTATAGATTTGTAGATATGTTGTAGCTAGCTACGATATGTAGCTAGCGACACATTGCTACAAAATCGCAATATTTAAAGTTCAATTATTCTCATAATTATAATAGACTCAACACAAAAATTAATTTTTAAAAGATGTTTAAAACATTGGGAAAAAAAAGAATATGAAAAAAAAAATGGCTTGAAAATTGCTTTAAAGTTAGCTAGTTGCTCGCTAGTCGCTCATTTCCCAAAGGCTACGTTATATACGCTTTAATTTGTTGTTTATTGTTATTATATACGTTTTATAATTTATATACAACAAAAAATGTATTATTAAAAATGTTTTGACATTTTGTTTGTAGTAAGGAGTTGTAAAGTGCGTGAAAAGGAGTGGTTTCACCCAAACAATAAAGTAACAAGTGGCTAAAGCGCTGGCTTCAAAAGGTTCGACGTTTACTACTTGAATTTGTAAAAGTGTAAAACTGTAAAAGTGAGATGAGAAAGAAAGCGCAAGCATCTTAATTAAATCCTCTTTCACGGTTATTTTTTATCACTTTAATACCCACACAAAAAAAAAAATATTAAAAAAAACTTCAATTAAACGAAGAAAAAAAAATGCAAAAAGTAAACATGGTATATAAATGTATTAATGAGATATCTTGTTTGTTAATTCAAAAATTTAAAAATTAATTAAAATTTATATTTAATATAACAGTACCATTTCCATTTTTTTAAAATTTAAAATTTTTTAAATGTAATGGAAATTGTACTAAAACTGAGGCTGACACAAAATAATGGTAGCTTATTCAGTTTCAGTATCGAAACATAAAATGCAGAAATGCTTTTAACTTTTTTTTATAACAATATTGTGTATATAATAACAACAGAAAAAAAATATAATTTTGATGTTGTTATTGATTGGTTTTGTAAATATTCAAAAACATTAAATAATTATTAACAATTAAAAAAGTAAATATACCTTTTAGGAAGATATTTGGATCGACATTAGACTGCGTACTTGAAGGAGATGATATTTCCATTTTTTCAATGTTGTGAAGCGGTTTACGAAAAGGACCTTCTGCAATAATACTCATTAGTTCAGTCAGTTCTTTTGATCCAAAGCTTTTTTCTAAGTTTTTGTCCGTTTTAAATGAGCCTAAAGGCGGCAGAGGGCTATTGGTATTTATTTGTTTAGTCGACATGTTGAAAATATTTTAGAAACTCAAAAATTCATACTTAAAACTCCATGTAACACGTTAAATCAAAACTAAGACAATAAACTTCATATCAGCCACTTTATCTAAATAGCAACAATGACATATATTACAAATAATTTTATTAAAGGGTGTGCATGAAAAAGGTCAAAGGGCGTGCATGACAAAGTTTTTTAATGTGCATGTAACAAGAGATCTCAACATTTAACTAAATATAATAAATAATTCTCCCAAGCATTTATAAAATAAATTTACTTTTTTCAGAAATATGCAGCAATATTAAATATTGCTTATATACAAATTATTATTAATGCTATTAATTAAAAAATGGAGGTTAATTATATTTTTAATGAAGTTAGTTATACACATGTATAACTAACTTCATTAAAAATATAATTAACCTCCATTTTTTATTTAATAAAAAATGGAGTATATGTATACACCAGGCCAGTAGTATGGAGTCAATTGAAATTTTTCTGAACATTATTGTATGGAGCTTACATATAAAACAATAAAATGATAAAAGTTTATAAAATTCAAAACTAATTTGGAGTTATATGAGTGAAGTTATAAACTTCACCAGTTAACAAGTAAAAAACTTTGTTTTGCAAAATAAATTGCTTTGGAGCCTGCGAACTAAATTACCCCAAAAATTTTGTCCCTACCCTAAGTGTGAGGTCAATCAGTAAATAAAGTATTTTATTGTACTATAAATAAACTCTTCGGCGGGGTTAACTTTCGTCGAATAATCTTTTATTGTTTAAAACGTATGATCATGTAAACCTTACACAAACTTCTCATTTTGGGTTAAAACCTGATAGTCAAATCTATCGAACTCAAACAGTTTAATAAATAAAAATTAAAACGTCACAATGAGTTTAAATTTACAAAATAGTAAAGAAATATAATTTGTAAGTTCATAACCCTCACATTTGGGATATAGGAGTAACTTTTTGAAGTGTTCTTGTTTCTAGGTTTTGATGATTGGAGCCCAACCACTGCAATTTTTAAAACATTTTGCTTATAATTTTAATATATATTTAATAAATTTACATAGCAGACAAACGACTATAAAAATATACATTATACACAGATTATACGCACATACACACACATACACACACCTACACACATACACACACATACACACAGTTCAAAACTTTATTAGTCTAAATCTATATTATATCTAGTTCTAGATATTTGTCAACGTTGTCAAAAGGTTTTCATCTGATTCCAAGTAAATTTTCATCAAGCACCTTTTGATTGTATATATGATTTTCACGAGAAGTCAATAGTGAATGATAATCCAAGAAGACGTAAAAAAATGAAATCATTAAGAGAAATTTTTTATATGCATCATTGTCGTATTTAATAATCTTTTTCAGAGCATTTTGGTCTTAGAAATTGATTACAATCAGAATGTTATGTAACCTGATAATAATTTTCCTATTAATTGCTAAAATTTTGCGGAGCAATAGAGCATCATAAAAAGCTTGTTGACATTAGTTTCATCTATTACTTGTTCCCTCTTCTCTAGCTCTTAGTTCATCAACTCTCAAAACAAATTCTTCCAACATCCTATCATGAAAAAGCTTTTTTAATTGATCTTTTAAAATCCTTTTTACTTTCCGAATTCTTATTTTAATTCTATTTAAAGTAAGTACAATAAATTCAAAAAATCTAATCCAAGCATGCAGCAATAAAATTTCATAGAATAATGCCTGCCCATCTGTAACAAACTCTTCTTTCGAGTTTTTTAAATTGTTTATCATGTTACGTGTAGCATCCCAAATTGGACAACAATGTATTGAAGAAACGTCGTATTGAAGAAAAAAGAAATGTTGTAAACTAAGATTTTCCCATTAGTCATTGAAATGACATAACTATAGTTAATCATTTACCTGGAAGGTAAACTTTAAAGGAGTATAAGTTAAGTGTAAACAGAAGTTAAACTTCAAAGGATTTTTAAACATTAAAAAACATTACTTTTTCAATTTCTTCCTTTACTTTAATACCAAAAATATAAGATTAGATATAAATAATGACTATATGTAAATGTTTTTTATTTTTGTAACTTTTGGTACATTTTGGTCTACTTTGTTGTGTTAAACAAGGGCGAATCCATCTACTGTGTTGTCTTAAACAAGCGGTGAGGATGATGAGGCCAACTGCCCCCCCCCCCCCCCTTTACATGATTTTAAAAAAAGGTGTGAATAATACTTCTCTATATAAAAAAAAAGCATGCAATTATATAGCATTTATATATATGAAAAATAGCAAAGGACCAAGTATTGAGTCTTGGGGGACACCATAACTAATAATTTCTAACTGTAATTTAGTTAAGTCATACGTAACATATTGTTTACAATTCTGAAGATAAGACTGAAGCCATTTTAAATTCGAACTCAACATTCCGTAGTTTTGCAATTTATATTTTGGATTTCATGATCGACAAGATTTCCAAGGTCATGAATAATATATATATATATATATATATATATATATATATATATATATATATATATATATATATATATATATATATATATATATATACATATATATATATATATATATATATATATATATATATATATATATTATATATATATATATATATATATATATATATATATATATATATATATATATATATATATATATATATATATATATTATTCATGACCTTGGAAATCTTGTCGATCATGAAATCCAAAATATAAATTGCAAAACAAAATATATATATATATATATATATATATATATATATATATATATATATACACATATATATATATATATATATATATATATATATATATATATATATATATATATATATATATATATATATATATTATTCATGACCTTGGAAATCTTGTCGATCATGAAATCCAAAATATAAATTGCAAAACTACGGAATGTTGAGTTCGAATTTAAAATGGCTTCAGTCTTATCTTCAGAATTGTAAACAATATGTTACGTATGGCTTAACTAATTTACAGTTAGAAATTATTAGTTATGGTGTCCCCCAAGACTCAATACTTGGTCCTTTGCTATTTTTCATATATATAAATTATATCAATTTATCCTCTAAACTCATAAATTTTAGTTCTTTTTGCGGATGATAATATTTTTTTTTCTGGTAAAATTTAAAGTTCGTTATTTCTACTGTTAACACTGAACTAGTAGATCTCAACGACTGGTTCAAAGCTAATAAACTTTCTTTAAATAATGATAAAACGAAATACATTTTGTTCACAAAAGCCTCAAAATCTGATATTTAATACTTTTTAGATTTATTTATAAACAACATTTAAATTTCAAAAAAAAGTTCAATCAATGAAAATTTTAGGTATATTATTTGATGAACATTTAAATCGGAAAAACCCGATTAAATTAATAGAAAATAAAATTTCCTTAACTTTGGGGATCATATTCACCTTTCGAATAATATGCTACGTAATTAAAAATGTGTTATGGTATGATAAAATGATTTTTTTAGTTGAAAAAAAAAAAGAGTTATGGAATTTAGTATGTGTTTTCATAACTTTTTTTCTTTTTTTTTTCTTCCTCTTTCTCCCGGACACGCTCATATATTATATATATATATATATATATATATATATATATATATATATATATATATATATATATATATATATATATATATATTATATATATATATATATATATATATATATATATATATATATATATATATATATATATATATATATATATATATATATATATAATATAATATATATATATATATATATATATATATATATATATATAATATATATATATATATATATATATATATATATATATATATATATATATATATATATATATATATATATATATATATATATTAGGGTAGGCCAAAACAAAAAAATTGAAAACTTAACATGTCTGCAAAAAAACGTGATTTTTTTCACATATGAATACAACCTATAAAAAAAAAATTGGAAAAAAACATCATTGAGTGCTGCCGAATTTGATTTGATTATTTTCATTTTTAGTCTAAAATATGTAAAAGTTAAGAACTTTTAGGAAAGTGAAAAAAGATTAGAATTTTTATATCTATAGGAAATATTTGTTATTTGAGGCTGTTCATTTAATAGACAACACGTTTTTGACCCTTTTTGAACTTCCCCATGTATCATTTTGTATTACTTGTTTATCAATTCCTCCCCCGCCCCCTCTTTTATGATATAAAAGCAGTTATTACTTGTATTGTGGTAAACCCCTCCATATTGGAGTGCTATTATAGCAGAATTAGTAAACTTTTAGCAAAAAATTACTTAGATATATATCTTTTTTAACAATTATAAGAATTGTAATTCGCGTCACATTGTAGCTAACTACCCGCTCCATGTGATATTTGGTGACACTTTCAATAACCCTCCCCCATATTGGAGGGGCTTACCACAATACAAGTAATAACTGCTTTTATAACTCCTTTTTAAATGATAGATTGCCTGAATTACAGAAGAGTTGATTAATTTGGAAAAAAATTATTTGGGGCTATTCAAATAATACGTGACAGTCTTATGACCAGGCTAATGAAAAACAGAAAAGATAATAAAAAAGCGGTTATTATTTATACTCAGCTAAATCAACGAATAATTGCTTCTTATTACAATTGCCTACAACTTTTCTGTGATTTTCAACCACGTTAAAAACTTCGTTTCGTACAGCCTCGTCCTTAAGATAAAAAATTTTATTTTAATCTGTTCTAATAGTAAATTTTGATGATTATGTAGATTTTTTAATTGCCTTCTAAACTCGTTTTACGGCTTACCTTTGTAAGTATTTTGAGATAATCGGAACACAACTTAGTTCCTCTCTCAGCTGCGTCATTAGTCACTTTTAGAGTTTTGATAAACAGCTTCATTTTCAAATAATAAGCATTGTCGTCCCATTCTGAAGAAGGAATTTCAAGCCATTTTCCATCATCTTTTAAATTAAAAAAAATTAACCAAGACTTTTTCCCAATATAAGAAATAATATCGGAATTTTTTCTAATCAGTGGAAGAGTTGGTTTACCGCAATTGATACCAAGTGGTTTTCCGTA